AATCCATGAGAGCACCTAACTCTTTCACGTTCGATTCTCCTTCATCTTGTATTAAAATTTGAGAAATTATTTTTGCACTAATTTTTTTTTTCCAACCACTCTCTTCTTTTATTGTAGCCACTAAACTGAATAAATAAAAAAAATCAACTAACGTAAACAAAAAAAGAAGTGCACAAGAAGAAGACGGGAATGTGGTAAATTAAAATCCCAAATATATATATATATATATATATATATTTAGGCTTGGGCTGTATGAAGTACTAGAACTAGAATTTGGGCTTTGGGTGGACAAAAAAGGAACAAGTTCCATCATCTATAGGTTTCCCTGGACAAATTTGAACCCAGAAAAAAAAGAAAAAGAAAAAAGGAGGACGTTGGAAAACAAACTTTTTTTTTTTAGAGGAAACACACTTCATTGAAACAAGACAGGATCAACAAAGCAGCAGCAGAAGAGCCTATAAGAGGCTAATACAAAGGTAGAGCCTGAGCAGGAAACAATAGTGCGGGGCTTACAAATAATAGGACACTTCCACCTTGTGAAAGCGTCACCCCAGCACCAAAAAAAAACATATGAGAATTAATGTGGACAAGGAAGGCCGTCATTGTGTAGGATGAAAACCAACGAAGATGGGGGTCGATCAACCTAAACATAATCATTCATCTCCGACGAATTATGCAACGCCAAAATGTGCGTTGCTTCATTAGCTAATCTCGGAACCCAAGACCAACGACAACTCTGAAAAGAACTCCCCAACAATCTGATCATCCCCAATGTAGGGGAAGCCTCCCAGTTGTCAACAACAGAACTAGAAAGACAAGAAATGACTTCTGACAAGTCCGCTTTGAAAATGACCTCCTGAAAACCCAACTTCAACCCCAACCTGCACCCATGAAACAAGGCAAGGGCTTCCGCAGTGATGGCAGATGGAGCACAAATAGGGTAGCGCGCAGCTGCTACAAATCTTCCTTCAGCAACACGCACCAACACCCTAACGAAACCTTGTTGAGTGACCATCGACCAGCTATCATCCACATTTATCTTAAAACAAGGATCAGACAGAGCACACCAAGAGGCAACTCCAGGAGCCGAAGCAAAACTCGTCACTCCACACGGCTCCACGCTAGAATTAGCCTTCAAAAAAGAACTAAGGGCAGCTGAAATTTTTAGAAGAACTGAAACCGGGTTCAATGGAACCTTATTAAACACAAAATCACAACGAGCTTTCCAAATGAACCAACAAGTGAAAGCAATGTAAGATTGGACCCAATTCTTGCTTGAAGCCGATCCAAACGTTGGCGAAAACACATCATTGCACCACCCACCCCACGAAGAAATAGCTTTACCATCCACTTTGTAAGGGAGCGCACCGCCAAACCAGATAGGGTGAACCCAAGTACAAAGGAGGAAGAGATGCTCAAGAGATTCATCCTAGCACAAACAGATAGGACACACAGGGGAATGGGCAAATTTACGGTGATAGAGAGTAGCACGGGTGGGAAGCCCACCATGAATCGAGATCCAAATAAAGTGCCGGATCTTAGGATACACCCCAAGTTTCCATAAATGTTTCAAAAAAATAGGAGTGAGTTGATTAATTAAAGTAGAGCTAAACCCCCTCTTGTCCACAGCACTGCTTAGTAACCAATTATACCCCGACTTAACCGAGTAGATACCCTTCTTGTTCGGAGCCCACACAAGTATATCCTTACGACCTAAAACACCAATGGGAGTAGTCTAAATAGCCATTTGATCCATTTCAGAGAGAAAAGCTTGCAAAAAAATCAATATCCCAACAACTTGATATCGGGCATATTAGCGAAGAAACTCTGAGATTTGGCGATACACTCTGCTGTCCCATAGGCTTCGGGTGTCCCGAAGGAATCGAGGGCAGCCACCTATCACTCCAAACCTTGACATCTTGCCCTCCCATGATTTGCCAATGGGAACCCTTATTAAACAAATCTCTAACTGAGAGAAGACTAGCCCATGCCCACGAAGCTCGACCTCCTTTTCTAGCCTCCAAAAAAGAACAGTGAGGGAAATAGCGAGCTTTGATCACACGAGCCCATAGAGAATTTGGTTTAGTTACCAATCTCCAACATTGCTTCATAAGTAAGCTTTATTAAATTCTTGAAAATTCCGGAAGCCTAAGCCACCCCGAGACTTTGGAAGCCCAAGAATAGACTTATGAACCCAATGAGTTTTTCGAACCCCATCCTTGCTCCCTTACCAAAAATTTGAAACCAGAGAATCTAGTTCCTGACATACAATGGCCGAAAACTTAAAAATATTCATTAGGTAGGCAGGAATGGCTTGGACCACAGCAATAATTAGAACTTCTTTCCTCGCTCGAGACAAAGAATTATGTTTCCAACCTTGGAGCTTCTTCATCACTCACCCCTTTACATAGGCTAAACCTCTTTTTTTTTTAACACCCCCAGATAGCCGAGACACCCAGATAAGCACCCGGGTTATCAACCACCTTCATACCAAGGATATTGCCTAAAAGAGTGGAGCAGTCAACAGGAACATTTGCACCAAAGAAAACACTCGACTTATTAAGGTTCACTTTTTGACCCGAAACCTCACAATACAATTCAAGGAGTTGGATAATATTGCGGCAATTCTTCTCATTTGCTCTCAGAAATAGAAGAGTATCATCCGCAAAGAACATATGCGAAATAATCGGTCCGGAGCCACCGAACCTTACACCCTTCAGAAGATTGTGATCCATTGCATCCTTAATCATCCGGGATAGAACTTTTCCAACCAAGATAAATAAGTAGGGTGAGAGGGGGTCTCCCTGTCTGAGGACCCTTGAAGGACTAAACTGGATCGAAAACACACACCCCATTATGATCCTCCGCCAATCATTACAAAAACCCATTCTTTCCATAACCGCATCAAGAAAATCCCACTCCACCCTATCATAGGCCTTTTCCATATCAAGCTTTATGCCTATCTCGAACTTACCTTTAGCTTTTCTACCTTTCAGGAAGTGGAAATGTTCATGGGCAATCCCAATACTGTCCTGAATTTGCCGACCCACCACAAAAACATTTTGAGTCGGGGAGATCAGATCTGGGAGAATCATCCGGGACAGAGGGCTAAATTATTCTGATTATTTTTCTCTGGACAGAGGGCTAAATTATTCAGATCTGGGAGAATCATCCACATAAGCATTTGCCGACCCTTTCTTTTAATTTTTCTGATTATTTTTCTCTGGACACCTATTTTTCACTTTCTTTGAACACCCATTTGCTTGTCTAAATTATAAGGTCATCTCCAACCGAAGGCTGGCCAAAGGGCTCGTTTTAGCCCTCTGACCCTCGAAGCCTCTGACCCTCGAAGAAATTAATATTTTAATGAACAGTGCAGGGCCATATTTCTTACCATTTCCAACCGAGGGCCATAGGGCTCGTTTTAGGCATGTCATAAAAAACCATCTCCAATCGAGGGCCAAATGGTAATGGTATGGAATGTGAAGAATTGAAATAAAATGAGGTAAGATAGTATAGAATGATGAAAAATATGTGAGAAATGATGTAAGAAAAAATTAGAAATTAAATTTTTATTTTTAAAAAGTCCAAAAAGAGAAAAGAAATGTGGGCTAGGCATAAAAAACAAAAAATAAGCTGGGACAAAAAAATAAAACCTAAGCCCCAAACCCTAAAGGGGGCTAGACAAATGGAAAAGAACAAAAAAAAAAAAAAAAAAAAAAAAAAGAAATTGGGCTAGCCAGCGGGTTGGCCCTTTTTTGTCCAGTGAGGCCCACGAGCCATTTGCCCTGATCCTTGGTTTGAGACGGTTTTCGGACTATTTTCGGCTCTTTGATCTTTTAGACCCTTCGGTTGGAGATGGCCTGAAGGCTTTCTCTTCAATTTTATTGTGAAATTCAACCGTCCTCAAGTTCATCAATTTCTGGATTACAACCATATGAGCGTCCAAAAAAATAACTATTTTTCTTGATAAAATCACTATGTTCTTTGTATAATTTTATAAATACGTATAACAGTCTCTCTGTTTTTTTTTTTTATTGTGAAGTAAGATAAGACCATGAACGTGGAAAGTGCTTTTCGGGCTATTTTAAGTGTGCAATTTTCATGTGTTTATTTGTAATTGTATTAGAATGACCAAAATAGTGATGATATTCAAAATATTAGTTATCATAAGATAAAATACACAATTATGATTTGAAAACGGTTATTGATATTCTAAAAAAAATTCTATTTACAATAACATTCTAGAAAGTCTGTTAGCCATTCGCACTCCTCCAAGTATAACAAAAGAGGAGTGCCGAATAAGTTTTATATTCGCGTGTCGATCATTGTTCTGAACAGTTATGGATGATATCGCAAATAATGCATGACAATAAGAGGATACGTCTCCTCTGAGATTGGATCCTAATGGAAATTAAGCTTAATTTCTTCTAAAGCAAATTTCGTGACATGTAAGTGGGTTTCATCTTGAAAGCCTATAGACGTGTAATTTTCACCAATTAAATTCCACAGATTGTACAAGCTGTTAGACCCAGTTGGTTTCTGTTCCCGCGACTTCAGGAAGTTGTGATCAACCTAAACTCTTATCTATGAAGAGTTAGTTCAGTTTGCAACTCTTTTAAATGTTTGTTGTTTCGGTGATACGTTTCCTTTGTATCTTCAATTGCATGCCTTCGAGCTATCAGCCAATGGGAAAAAAAATTGGATTTGTGTCGTTAGACTGCTAGGGTTCTGATACCATGTAAAACTTAAGTATATTCAAGGGTTCACTTCAATTGCATGCCTTTTCAATGAAGGGCTGCATGTATTTATATTCCACTTCAGATTAGATTAGAGAATGAAATCCCTATTTACAAGGCTATTCAAAATTCAAAAATTACAACAGAAGATACAGAGGAAACGTATCATAGAAACAACAAACATTTAAAAGAGTTGTAAACTGAGCTAACTCTTCATAGATAAGAGTTTAGGTTGATCACAACTTCCTGAAGTTGCGGGAACAGAAACCAGACACGGACTTGGTCTAACACAAGCTGCTTAATGCTCTCTTTAATTAAATATTTATGTTTGTTTGTGTGGCTATCTACTCATCCTCACCATCCATTTCCCTTTCTTTTCTTTTCTTTTTTTCCAGGAACAAATGATTTTGTTATTGGAATTCAATCGTTTCTGGCAATGCTAGCTTTGGTCACCTTTTTGCATTATGTATCTGGATAGCCCTTGCTTCCTCAGTGGAACCAAAGTTTTTATAGTGGGCAATACAAAAAATGGACAGCCTTAAAGCAGAGAAAATTGAGAGCCAAAACCTACCCTCACAGGAACCAACCAAAGGTGGAGGCACCACATTTTTCAGAACATGTTTTAATGGCCTCAACACGTTATCAGGTAAATTTGTCTCTTTTTTCTCTCTGTCACACTATATTTTTAAATTTCTTAATTACAACAAATATGAATTAGGTCGGTTGACTAGGATAGCGTGTCTGACCCCTTCACACAAAACGTTCTTAATTACCTTGTTTAATTTTTCAGGAGTTGGGATTCTATCGATTCCAATTGCACTTTCTGAAGGAGGGTGGCTGAGCTTAATCCTTCTTTTCCTGTTGGCACTTCTTTGTTGGTATACCGGGTTGCTTCTACGACGATGCATGGACGGGAATCCGCGGATCAAGAGTTATCCCGACATTGGAGAAGCTGCTTATGGACAGAAAGGAAGAGTCGCCATCTCCATTTTTATGTACCTTGAGCTGTATTTGGTAGCTGTTGAGTTTCTAATATTAGAAGGTGACAACTTAAGCCAGTTGTTCCCAAGCAAGGGTTTTAACATGGCAGGCCTCAAAGTCGGAGGCAAACAATGCTTTGTTTTGCTCACTGCCCTTGTAATTCTGCCAACGACATGGCTGAAGAGTCTGGGATTGTTGGCGTATGTTTCCGCCGGAGGAGTTTTCGCTTCTCTTTTTTTGGTTGCCTGCGTATTTTGGGTTGGTGCGGTTGATGGTGTAGGGTTTCATGAAGGAGATGTTCTTCTGAATTTCAGAGGATTGCCTACTGCTGTGAACTTGTATCTGTTCTGCTATTGTGGCCATGCAGTTTTTCCCACATTGTGCAATTCCATGAAGGACAGGAGCAAATTCTCCAAGGTCAGTATTTTCAAAGCACGGTTAAATAATTCAGGGAACAGGTGCAGATAGAATGGTTACAAATTTTTAATAAAAAACAGAATAAGAGAAACATTTAAGAGGACTATAAAGAGGCATTAAATCGTGATTCACACATAGCTTATTGTCGGTTTACTCTCCTTCAACTTAATTTTTGACTAAATTTTTTGTAACGGATTCTATTTGTTCCTGAAATCTTTTGCAGTGATATGACCATGTCCATTTTCCCCATCATTGCAGGTATTACTTATCTGCTTCGTTGCAAGCACCATCACCTACGGATCAATGGCGGTTTTAGGTTACTTGATGTTCGGACAAGAATTGAAGTCTCAAGTCACATTAAATCTTCCAGTACGAAAAATTAGTTCAAGGATAGCAATTTACATTACTATAATTAATCCCCTCACAAAGTATGCAATTATAATCACTCCGATTGCTGCTGCTATTGAGGATACACGCCCTTTTCGCAATAGTCTCACAATTAGCATCTTCGTGCGAACCTTAATTGTAATTAGCACCGTAATTGTGGCCTTGGCCATTCCCTTTTTTAGCTACTTAATGGCTTTAATCGGCGCATCTCTGAACGTGATGGTCTCAGTCTTGCTGCCGTGCTTGTTCTACCTCAAGATTAACGTTGCTGCTCGGAGATTCGGGTTCGAGTTGGTGGTAATTGTTGCGATTATGGTAATAGGGTCTTTTGTTGGCGTAGTGGGTACGTACACTTCTGTGAAACAAATTGTAAGACAATTCTGAAATCGTAATGGAGCGTTTTAATTAGTAACTCTGATAAATTTTTTGCAAGAAGTAGAATTTCACCACATGGTTCATTTCCCATTTCTGCAATTATGCAAAATCAGTTTTTGATTTTGCTTTTTTTTTTTTTGGTTCGGTATGGAAGCACTTTTGACGATGAATTTGTTGGAAATTTAGTTCTTGTTATTATTGTTATTTTATTAGTTTTTTTGTGGGTCAAGGATTATGATTATTTATCCATTATGTTTAGGATTTATTTTCGTTTTTCTCTTATAAATAGGAGTCGTATAAGTCCGTTACAATATAGTCTTACAAATTATGTAACCTTCTTAATGAATAATCTTATATCATGCTAGAACAAATCTCTCATAAACCAATTAAAACAGCTAAATTCACATAATAAAATCGGTCTCTATAGAATTTACATTAAGAATAGAGAAAATAATATTTAATAAACAAATGATTGAATCACATTATTACTAGCTCATTGTGAGGCTAAATCCACCCCCTCCCCCTTAGTGTAGATAATATTATTTGTAAAAAAAAAACAATCATTTGATAACTAATTTAATCACATTATTATCCACGTGCAAAAATGTCACATCCCACATCGCCCAGAGGTGTGGATCTTGTAAGTCTTATATGTATATTCTCATCTCTACCTAACACGAGGTCTTTTGGGAGCTCACTGGCTTCGTGTTCCATTGGAACTTCGAAGTTAAGCGAGATCGCAACGAGAGCAATCCCAGGATAGGTGATTCACTGGGAAGTTCTTGTGTGAGTTTTCAGAAACAAAACCGTGAGGGCGTGGTCGGGGCCCAAAGCAGACAATATCGTGCTACGGTGGAGTCGAGCCCGGGATGTGGTGGGGGCCTGGGTCGAAATGTGACAATTTGGTATCAGAGCCAATCCCTGGCCGGATGTGTGCCGACGAGGACGTCGGGCCCCAAGGGGGTGGATTGTCACATCCCACATCGTCCAGGGGAGTGAATCTTGTAAGTCTTATATGTATATTCTCATCTCTACCTAGCATAAGGTTTTTTGGGAATTCACTGGCTTCCGATTCCATCGGAACTCTGAAGTTAAGCGAGATTGCAGCGAGAGCAATCACAAGATGGGTGACCCATTAGGAAGTTCTTGTGTGAGTTCCCAGAAACAAAACCGTGAGGGCGTGGTCAGGATCCAAAGTGGACAATATCGTGCTACGATGGAGTCGAGCCCGGGATGTGGTGGGGGCTTGGGCCGGGATGTGACAAAAAGACCTTTTTATAACTGGCATTACACGTCTCTTAATATGTTTTGATAGTGTTTAAAAATAGAGAAAATAATATTTAATAAACAACTGATTGAATCATATTATTGCTAGCTCACTGTGAGACTAAGCTCAACCCCTTCTCTCTTAGTGTAGATAATATCGTTTGTTAAAAAAAATCATTTGACAACTAATATAATCACATTATTATCCACGAGCGAAAGACCTTTTTTATAACATGCATTACACGCCTCTTAAGATGTTTTGAATGTGATTAAATATAGAGAAATTGAATCATATTATTCCTAGTATATTGTGAGGTATTAATTAAGAAAAAACCACAAAAAAATTAATTATTAAAAAAATACTGTTAAAATGACGAAAAATGTCTTTGCCTTATTTGATGCATTATTTTGGGATGCCCTTGAAGTTTTTTGTCGTGGGGGCATTTTTGTCCAAATCTTTTGTTGAAGCTTGGTGACACCAAAATCACTATTCACTTTTCGATTGGCTTTATATATAGAAGATGAATATAAAGTCAGAATCCCTTAGAGCAAAGAAAACGGAGAACCAAAACCAACGCCCATGTAACATACTACAATTGAGAAATTTTCTAGTATAACAGTCATACAAACTCACAAGAATCAGGAAACATGCACTGTGGATGTAAATTTTCGCCGTCTTCTCCTTTAACAAAATTGCACCTGTAAAATAATGTGTTTAAGAGTTTGTGAATAGCAAATGACTTAGTTTTTTAATGGGAGAATATGACTATTTATAGGGAAGTGACCGGCCCTATTTGGAGAATAGTGCATGGCCATATATGGTGAAATTGAGTGAATAATTGCAAGATATTATGTGAAATAATATTTTACAATTAACATGGTAATTAATCCTAAATTAAATAGAAAAATTGGAAGTTACCTTTTGAATAAGAATTTGATGATGAGTGATGAGATGGATTTGAATAAATATAATTTTTTGATCATCTTTGACTCCTTCTTGATTGAGCCGTTATTGTTCGTTGCATGTGCATTGGAATCCCGATGTGTATCGAGGATAATTTTGTCATTTTCATCCAAAAGTTTACGTGTCACCTTCATAAAAAATTTTATTATTTTTTGCCCCACATGCACCATCTAATGATCAGAATCATTAGTTTTTTTTTTTTTTTTTGGTAAATCAGAATCATTAGTTTGGAATCTTTGGATCTGTCCAAAAGCGACTTGATCAATGTCAGGGTCATGTCAGGATTAATTTCAATTGCACCAAAGCAAACTTTGGATATGCTATTTCTTTTATTAAAGGGGCAAAAGATAACGATAAGATAAAGAAAATGACCTCAAGAGGGGGTACCAGCTGCAAGAATTTGAAAGAGGAAGATTTATAAAATGCATCTAATGTTGTAAGATAGTGTGAAGGATAAAAAATCTCAAAACAATTAATCGTAAGATATGAAAGATGACATTCTTAACTTGATACTGAATAGTTGAAAGATTATAATAGAATACGAGCATCTAACTTAAAATTAATCGGCAATAAGTTGAGAGTAGTTTATCAGCTATATATCGGGCTATTCTGATTCATTTTTCATTGTCTGCAATTATGCAAAAGCACCTTTCGTCTTTTGTTTTTAATCAATATGGAAGCACTTTTGAATCTTGATGATGAATTATTATTTCATGACGTTCAGTCAAGTATTTCATACTGAATCTGGATACATCATGAGACATTGGGACACATAAAGCAGCAAGTTTCATTGTAAATAATGGCTTTTGACTATTTTTAGTGCAGAAGAATGTGCTTCCAATATATAGCACTTCAACACTAGAAAACAGGACATCCATAGAAAAGATGAGCATATATTTAATCTGGATTTGGGATCCCTGCAAAGTGCGTACACTGCTTTCTTCCCTAATAATTTGATGCTTTTTTCAGTCCTTTTTCTTGCATTATTCATGGCCTCTCATGCACTATCTATTGTTGACTAATATATTGAACTTATACAGGAGTCACCCTCTTACAGTGGACTAGAAAATTTGAGGTGATCCTAATATATTGAACTTACACTAGTATAGCAGTAGTGTTATACGTATCAAATTCAAGTTACATGATTCTTATATATTAATATCACATTCACTCAAATTAATGTGAAAGGCTTAAGGAGAGACACCTGAAGTCGGACCCCATAAGACTAAAGGCAAAGAGAATGGAGAGTCAAAAACCTAACACCTACGATTGAGAAACTTTTGAGCGTGATGATCATAGATTCACAAAAATAAGGCAAAATGCACCACCTTTTTGGATCATATTAGTACCTAGTTTGAATGTGCATAGTGAATTTGCAGAATGTGAGAATTTTAACGAAAAGCTCCCGGTACTGTTCACTTTAACGAAAAACATTTTTACACTAAAAAATCAATCATGGTACTATTCACTTTACCCTTTATTTTGTCCTTATCGTTAAAACTTAAAAATTTTAAACTTTTTTCATTATTTTTCCTTTTATTCTAGCCACTAAACTGAAATAAAAAATAAAAAATTCAAGTAACGTAAACAAAAAACAGAAGTGCACAAGAAGAGGACAGGAATGTGGTAAATTAAAATCCCATAAAAATATATATATTTGGGCTTGGGCTGCATGAAGTACTAGAACCGGAATTTGGGCTTTGGGTAGACAAACAAGGAACAAGTTCCATCATCAAAAGGTTTCCCCGGACAAAAGAATAATTTTCTTTTGCTTTATATGATTATTTTTCTCTGGACACTTATTTTTTACTTTCTTTGAACACCTATTTTCTTGTATAAATTATGAAGGCTTTCTCTTCAATTTTATTGTGAAATTCAACCGTCCTCAAGTTCATCAATTGCTTGATTACCACCATATGAGCGTCCAAAAAAATAACTATTTTTCTCGATAAAATCACTATGTTCTTTGTATAATTTTATAAATACGTATAGCAGTCTCTCTGTTTTTTTTTTCAAATAAAATTGATGGTTGTACGAAGCCCACCCATCTGCAAATCACTCATTCCCTCCAAAATTGCAATTCAATCATCACCGCATACTGTATGCTCCAAACACACAAGATAGTGATATGGCAGCGCCGGCTGTCCAAATAAGCCCATTCTCTCACCCAAAAACCAACACAAACACCCCTCTCTCTCTCGTCCCCAAGTGCTCGACTTTGAGAGAAATCAAGCAAATCCATGCCTTTTCCATCAAAACCCATCTCCAATATGACATCTCCGTCCTCACCAAGCTCATCAATTTCTGCACCTCGAACCCAACAAGTACCTCCATGGACTACGCCCACCACCTGTTCGACCAAATTCCCCACCCGGACATCGTCGTCTTCAACACCGTTGCTCGCGGCTACGCGCGCTCTGGCACACCGTTTCGAGCCATTTCACTCTTTTCCCACGTTCTGTGCGCAGGTCTCTTCCCAGATGACTACACATTCCCGTCGCTTCTCAAGGCGTGCGCCGGCTCTAAAGCGTTAGAAGAAGGGAAGCAATTGCATTGCTTTGCTATCAAGTTTGGCCTCCACCTTAACATCTATGTGTGTCCTACACTCATAAATATGTACACCGAGTGCAATGATTTGGATGCCGCTCGCCGGGTGTTTGATAAGATAACTGACCCTTGTGTTGTTATACACAATGCCATGATCAAGGGCTATGCTCGAAGTAGCCGGCCAAATGAGGCGTTGGCGTTGTTTCGAGAAATGCAGGCAAGCAATGTTAAGCCGACTGATGTAACCATGCTTTGTGCTCTTTCTTCATGTGCTTTGTTAGGAGCATTAGACTTGGGAAAGTGGATACATGAATATGTTAAGAAAAACAGGTTTGATAGATACGTTAAAGTGAACACTGCACTGATAGACATGTATGCAAAATGTGGAAGCCTGGAGGATGCAGTGTCTGTATTCGAAAACATGAGCGACAAAGATACTCAGGCTTGGTCTGCAATCATCATGGCATATGCGACACACGGGCATTGTTCCAAAGCCATATCTATGTTTGAAGAAATGAAAAGAGCACGAATTAGACCTGACGATATCACCTTTTTGGGTCTCTTGTACGCGTGTAGTCATGCTGGATTTGTTGAGGAGGGTTGCAATTATTTCTACAGCATGAGTGAGAAATATGGGATTGCTCCAGGGATTAAGCATTATGGTTGCATGATAGATTTGCTAGGTCGGTCTGGACGCTTGGAGGAGGCTTACAACTTCATAGATGAGTTACCAATTAAGCCGACACCCATATTCTGGCGAACGTTGTTATCTGCTTGTGGCAGCCACGGTGATGTAGACATGGGGATGCGGGTGCTTAAACGGATTTTTGAGTTAGATGACTCTCATGGTGGGGATTATGTGATCATATCGAACTTGTGTGCAAGAGCGGGGAGATGGGAGGATGTGGATTACTTAAGGAAGTTGATGAGAAGCAGAGGAGTTGTAAAGATTCCCGGATGCAGCTCCATTGAGGTGAACAATGTAGTGCACGAATTCTTTTCTGGAGACGGGGAGCGTTCTGTTTCTACTGTACTGCACCAGGCGGTTGACGAATTGGTTGAAGAATTAAAGCTGGCTGGATATGTTCCTGATACTTCTCTAGTGTTTCATTCTAACATGGAAGATAAAGAGAGAGAAGTTTCTCTCAGATACCATAGTGAGAAGTTGGCGATTGCTTACGGGCTCTTAAACACAGCCCCCGGGGCAACAATCCGCGTCGTGAAGAACCTTAGGGTATGTGGGGATTGCCACTCTGCTGCTAAGTATATATCGTTGATCTTTAATAGGCATATAATTCTTCGAGATGTCCAACGGTTCCATCATTTCAAAGAGGGAAAGTGCTCTTGTGGAGATTATTGGTAGTTTAACTTAATCGAACTGGAGATCATTTTTATCATAGCATAGAGAATATATTGGCTCGACAAAACTCTTCATTTTGTTGGTGGAAGGCGATCCTCACGCTCTTCGCCAAACCCACTTCGACGATCATCGGCAGGCTGACATATTTGTCAATCATCATCAACAAGAATGCAGATTAATTTGTTGTAAATGTAAGATAAACTATGCTGTTATAAAAATATTTGTACTAATTCAGGTATTTACAGATTAATCATGAGAATTCGAACTTAGAAGCACACTGCTCTAACCAACTTGGCTAAGCTCAGTTTTATAGTGAAACACGAGAAATTGGGTACACTCCTGGTATAACATGTTACAAAGATGCATCTCAGACTAGCCAACTTCATGAGGTTTATTGAATGTCCATGCAGCCCGATGAGATGCTCGTCCAACATTGAGTTCCCATCCTTCTAGCTACTTTGATATTATGAGATTTTCTAGTATCGTCTAGACCAAGATTTGATGGCCAAACTTCAGGTGTATTACATATACCGGAGCATAGTAGAATTTCCATAATATTAGTACACTTGTTGGATATTGGACTCTCTCATAGTAAAATTTTGCTGTCATCGTAATGTAATTACGCATGTAATTAAATTGCTCTACACTAACAAAGCACACACTGTCAAAATTCTTGTCCACTAGATTATCATTGGAAAGAAAGAAAAAGGACGTCGGCAATCATTTTAGGAGGCAGGTTCAGATGTTAAACGAAAAATCCTATAAAACAATCACAAATACGCACAAATATATTCATAAATTGTAATGATTACGTTCTTCACGGTGTAGACATATAATTTGTAATTTGAACAGAGACATGAGTTCTTGACAATTTATCTCGACTCTTGGCACTATTTGAGTTCTAATAATTTAAAGGTAATAAGAAAGAAATTTAGGTTTCATCGCAAAATAAATTAAAATTTGGGAAAGTTTTTCGAACTTCTTATTTTGCTATTGGAAGATTTTTTTTTAACTTTCTGATATAGGGGCAATGCTTTCACATCTTCTCATCACAAATGACAAAAATTCAAACCTGAGCTGCCTAACATGTGGACAATTATGACAAGAAATAGTGGAACAGTGGAACTCCTTGGATCATTGTACTTAGTTGTTTAAAGATCAAATATTGTCATCAACTTGTTTGTACCATGATAGTTTGCTCCACTTAGAGTAAGTATCATGTTCGATTTGTAGAGACGATAACACTATATATTTGTAATAAGTTTGACAATGAGTTGTGATTCATCCAATTGTGGTAACGTAACTTTGTTGTTATGTTTTGGACTGTTGTAAAAGTATTTTGTGAATCTATTTTGTAAGAAAAAGATTCAGCTAATGTCAATATACAAAATGAAAATTGCTAAAATGAGGAGAGAATATCCTCTTGATCAATATATGCCAAGTTTTCAGTATGAAAGCATTAAGCACGTATGGAAATCACGGCACGCTATTTCACCGATATTATTGCTATTGGTGACCACATTTATATATGCATACATGCATGTTACAAGTTACAACCACATGATTTATATTTGTTTTATTTGATACAATATAAATAAAGTGTGAAAGCATTACTTTATCTACCTAACTTGGAATCCATCAAATAATTGGTGCAAGTACAAAGAGATGCTTACAATGGAGAGAGGATTCTTGCCGAATCCTCTTTGTGAGGATCTTGGAAATTCTCTAATCATATTCGTTCATCGTGCATCGTGCGGTCAGTTTTCATCAGGTACTGTTCATATTCAATTTTAAATAAATTTTTTTACATTGATATCTAATCGCACGATGTACAATGAATGAATGTGATTTGAGGATCCCCAAGATCCTCACTCCTTACAATATTCCTAACATTTATTTATTAATTGAGGTAACTTCCAAAGGTCGCAGGAAGTCACAAATATGGCCAATAAGTGTGTGTCATACGAGAGATTTTTCAATGGAACACAAATACATACATCATAATTATACAAGTGCAAGAACGCTTAAAAAAAATCTTCCCTCCACTTATACAATGACATATGACGTACCGCTCTATATTTTTGGCACACTGAAAAATCTCTCATATCATACATTATGCACCATATTGTCTCGTATTAAATGGAAAAAAATGATAAAAATTGTTTACACATGTGTCAAACCTTAGCTAAAAAGCTTAACACAATCTGCCAAAATCACAGAAGAATCCCGCGTTGAGATTTAAATTAATTAATGGCTAATTTCGATTAGTTGGACAAACAAACAAAATTAAGAAAAATAGTGAATGTGACAGGAAAAAAATCCCACAAATATGAAAGGAAAAATTCTGTATAAAGAAAACGTGAGCCGACATATATCTATCATCATGCAACGGTTACACACATAAATAATCCTGTGGACTCATAAAATTTGGTAATGAAAGCATATAAGGCTGGATATTCGGCCCCTCAACCTTTCCATATTTCTGCCTATAAATAAGGCTCGTCACCTCCCTTTCATATACACTATCATTACTCTCCAAATTAACCAGTCTCAAGAGTCAAAGGCCATAACCAAGAGAGAGAAATCTAGAGAGAGAGAGTGTGAGTGAGAAGGATGAAGACCAACCCTTCAACTTTTGTCAAGCTTTTACTGATAGGATGTCTTTCAGTTGTTTGTGTTGCAGAACAATTTGATTTCTTCTACTTTGTCCAGCAGGTGAGTGAGATGTTTTATCTTATGTTACGTCGGATGGAATCAAACCCTTGACCTATGTGACTGTTAGTTCTTATGATTACCTTGTTATGGTTGTGTTTTTTTGTTGAGTAATGCAGTGGCCGGGATCGTATTGTGACACAAAGAAAAGTTGCTGCTATCCAACAACAGGGAAGCCTGCAGCTGATTTTGGTATTCATGGGCTTTGGCCGAATAACAAGGACGGTTCATACCCCTCAAACTGCGATCCTAACAACCCCTTTGATCAATCTGAGGTATTTTAATTGAATCTTGAAAGTGTCCTTTGGCATAAAAGAACATCGATCTTATATTTCTTTTTACATTTAAGGCCGGCCATCTAATGCAAAATCTGCTACATTTAGGCATTTTCGCATAAAAATCATCTATCATTTATTCAAAATTTGTTAAAATGAGTTTTACAGTTTTAAACTTGGACAAAATTGTAACAAAATTGTCACACGCCTGATTGGTGTAAAGAACAAGTTCTCCACAAGCAAGCATGGAGAAAGCATGTACTCCCACTAGTTGTGTATAATTATGTATATATCTCTCATCATGTAACGAGTGATGTATGAGAAATATAAACACATAATTGTATGTATCGAATGACTCCTGGCAATTGCAAGCTTGGTTTTGTGGCGTGACGTTTGATGTCACATCTCACACCCCCTGCGTGCTAGCAATGGCTCTTTTGGCCTTCTTATCCTTTGTTCTGTTTTTTTTTTTTTTTCATACTGCTTTAATCTTCTGTTGTTGACAAATTAAGATTTGGCCTTTTTATCCTTTATTCTGTTTTTTTCTTACTACTTTAATCTTCTGTTGTTGACAAATTAAGAATTTATAATTATAATAATATATATAGCTCTTGATAATGGAATAGGGATCTTCACATCTTAGTCATTCATCGTGTATCGTGCGGTCAGAAATTATCTGACTTTTTTATTTAAAATTAAACTCAAATAGTATATGACAAAAACTGACCGCACGATGAACGGTTAGAATGTGGGGATTCTTAGCATTCCCACAAAGTGGATTTAGAGAGGATCCTCTTCCCTTGATAATTAACGAACGTTATCAACCTTTAGATGCCACTAAATTCTATCATGGAAAATGATGTCACAGATTTCAGATCTAAGAAGCAGCATGCAAAAAGAATGGCCAACATTAGCTTGCCCAAGCGGCAATGGCATAACGTTCTGGACACATGAATGGGAGAAACATGGCACTTGCTCAGAGTCGTTCATTGACCAACACGGTTACTTTGCAGCTGCTCTTAACCTCAAAAAGAAAATAAACCTCCTCCAAGCCCTCGAAAGTGCAGGTAATTAATAAATAAATTATGAAACTAATCAGATCAAATTATCAATGCGTAACAGTTATTACACACGATTATTAGTTGGTAGATGTTGTAATCACTAGTCACCTCATATTGAGCCCACTAATTTCAGTAACTATTGATGTTAATTCCTTGCTGTGTTCGTCGATCCACATTTATTAAACATATATAATGTTATATGTTACAGGTATAAAGCCAAATGGGGACTCATACACCCTACAGAACATCAAGGGGGCAGTGAAAGATGCAACTGGGTTCACTCCATTTATTGAGTGCAATGTGGAAGAATCTGGTAACAGCCAACTTTATCAGGTTTACTTGTGCGTGGACACTTCTGGTTCTGACCTCATTGAGTGTCCTGTCTTCCCCCATGGAAAGTGCGGTGCACAAATTGAATTCCCAACTTTTTAGAAATGTAGAAAGATGACTCGCTAGCTCAGACCACAGCATCAGCTTTGTCTAAATTTTCATGTAACTATCATTCACTAATCATGAATTCTGGATGTAGTCCCGTTTTTAATAACCCATTTATGATAAGTGTGTTTATGCAAAATACAATATATTTTGATGTACGAAGTTCTTGAGTCCAGACTATTTAGAACTTAATTTTTTTAAATACTCACCTACATGAACCACATCAAGTGGCCCATTGGTAATGGTGCGGACTGCGCCTAGGTTCCGTGTTCGATGCTCCGAACTAGTGAGTCTGCTTGATTGTGGCCACGAGTAGAGTGAAATTCCTCATAGCCTCTCCGCGCCCGGAAATGGTGGATAATATTGGCTTACCACCAGTTGTCCCCCTTAAAATAAAAAATAAAAAAAAACAAGGATTTAGTCCCTGTGGTAAAATGTAACGATCCATCCCATATTTTATGAATCGAAAGGGCAATTTTGTAATTTCACTTTGATTGGGAGATATTTTGAAATTGTTGCTTTTTGGATCTTGTTTGGTGTGCCATGTGGGGCCCACTTTCCTTTTTGGTCCCCCAACCCTCTCTCTCTTCTTCTCTCCCTTCTCTTTCCCATGTATAACTCTCAGACCTCTCTCTCTCATCTCTCCCCCTCACATACTCTCTCTCTGTACCTTTTCTTTCCCCAAGCAGCACACCCACACGCACCAACCCTCTTTCTCTCTCTCTCTCTCTCTCTCTCTCTCTCTCTCTCTCTCTCTCTCTTTCTGATCTCCCTCGCCTATTTTGGACGTCTTCACCTCTCTCGTCCCTTTTCCTCCTCTGCAAGTGCAGACACCGAGACCTCTATCACCACCACCGTAGGTCGACAAAACTGGCGAGTTCCACCTTTTTCACATTAGGAGAGCCTCAGAGTCACCTTCTCTGTCTCAAATGATTGTTCCTTCGATTTCTAAGTTATATACTCGTTTTTAGTGAAGGTTTGGCTTGAAAACACCTCTGGGAGACTTTCCCAGATTCCGACGAGGAATGCCGTGACTTCCAGGCCATTTTTCGACCACGGCTGGACCAAACATTGGTATATTTCTCTTCCTCTCCTCCGTAGCTTCAAATCCATATATGGCATGCTTGTGATTGTTGTGAAATGGAGCTAATATTCTGTTAGGGAATATTATGTCAAGGAATATTCCTGGATTCCTAGAATATTTTGTGTTGACTTTTACAAAATATGCTTGGGACCCCTCCTAAACTAATTTCGACATCCTGGTTCCAAATCCGCGCTCTGTTTTCCCAAAGTCAATCGTTTTAGTAAAGTTTTATTAATTGGTCATTTTATGTGCTTAGGTGCGTTTGTTAGTGACGTTCCCGTCCTCTCTTGTTTGCACAGCTCTTCGACAACGGAGTAAGGTGAGTGGACCCCTTCCAAAATGCATGAATTTATTATTAGAAATGCATACATGAAAGCATGATTTTATGACTACGTTTTATGAAACATTTATGAGTAAATTGGATTTATGCTTTATCAGATTTACGTTCTTTGAAATATATTTATGATTATATACTTATGAACATGATTTATGATATAATGTTTGAGCTATTGAGCTCCGATGAGATACATTTGGGAAAGATTATGTTCATGATTTTATGTGCGTATTCAGTGGTTACTCATACTATGTGCCTACAGGCGAAAGATACTTATATATGGCTTTGGTCTTAAAATACTTATATATGGCTTCGGCCGGGCGTTTGTAGATGGCTTCGGCCGGAAGATACTTATATATGGCTTCAGCCAAGTGTTAATAGATGGCTTTGGCCAGAAATATTTATATATGGCTTTGGTTGGGTGATGTAGGGTCTTCAAGCGATTTTGATACCACTATTAAGCACACTATATATGATATATGTTTTATGAAAGGTTTTATGGCATGCTAGGGTTTTCGGAAAACCTATTACTACTTATGCTATATGAGTTTTCTAAACTAGGGGTTAGTATGTTGAAGAATAACTGTTTTAGTATTACATATATATAAACTTGGTCCACTCATGTTTTGTTTTGCGTCCCCTTCAGACTTAGAATTGGGGCGTACAATCTCGATGTCAAGGCACTCCCGCATCGGTAGCTTCAAGTCATCTCGGTGTAGGACCCATTCTTTTGTTCGTACATTTGTATATTATTCTTTCTTCAATGTTCTGGTTTAGTTGTATGCTCTGAACACGTTCCACAATTGCATATTCATTACAGTTAAATTTTCGAGTTTTATTTATGTTCGTTCTTTCTTCATAGTTCTCATGCATGTTAGCATGGCTTCATCACCTTCGGGTGTCGGCCAGCACGTGCCTACCCTAGTGTTGGAGGATATCGGGATCAGGTTTATCATAAAATCTATTAGGACTTATGCCCAAAATTGAAAATTCCATTAACTTTTCTGTTAATTATTAGCATATGAGCCACATATATTAGGCTAAAACGGAACTCTACTTTAATTGTTAGCTAACTCATGTACCAATAATTAACAAAATAGTTGACGGAATTTTCAATTTTGGACATAAATCCTAACAGACTTTACCACATGGACTTAAATACTAGGTTTTTTATTTTTTTTTTATTTTTTAAACCCTAGGAGCTATCTTTCCTATCACCATCGGACTTTTAATTAAGCCCAAAAAAAAAAAAAAAATTACTCACCAACATGGATTGATAATATTACATCCCTTTAGATTTTTTACATTTTTTAATAAATAAAGGGTTGTTTTATTACCACTGTTAATTTGTTGAATACACCTACAACTAAAATGTCTCTCAACAATTTCATCTTTGCCCTTCCGTTTGTTAAAGCCACCCCACCTTACAAAACAATAAATCCCACAATACCCCCGCACCGTCGCCTGTGACTCCATTGTGTCACCGTCGCCTGTGACTCCATTGTGTTCTTCGTATTATCCGGACCATTGGAGAGGCGAGAGTGTTTGCCTCGGCTTTGTTTTTAAATAGGCCTTTCTTGAAACTGTATTAGTATTCCTAATTGTTTTCTTCATAATGATTTCGAAACTGTATTAGAAGTTTATTATCCATAACTATAAGTTGAATAACAGGGTTATCAAGGCTTATTCCACAGGTTGCATAACCTCTAAGTTTCTCCAAATTGTATTAGGGTTTTGTTCTTATATTGTCCGAGTCCAATTCTCGATATGAGAACTATGCCGAGGCCAATCCAGAATTCCCAAGCGGATATGAATATAATACCAAAAAAAAAAAAAAAAAACAAAAAACAAAAGTACAACGATGAATATTTTGATGTTGAAAAAAATGCGAGCAGTCTAAAATAAAGCAAAGGATCTCAAGTCTCAACAATCAGCCATCGGCCAGGTGAAGGAGTTGGTGGTTTTGAGAATCTGCAAAAATATTGGTGACGTATTATTTGGTTTGCAAATTTTGTTTACAAATTTAGCCTCCTTAGCATTACCCTTAAAGAATTTCTATTTTGATTGTTTCAACAAATTGTGGAGTATATATTAATAAACAATCCTAAATAAAAGCTCAACAGTCATTAGATGTCATTGATGAGGAGAGTCTTGTTGAAATTGTCCTTCGAATTTTCACCGGCCAAGATCGATTGATTTTGGGTTAGAGTGTTTTGGTGAGTTATTGGGCCATGTATAAAACTAGTGCACATGGCATGGTTTTAAATTTCAACACCAGCAGTTCGCATTAATAATCTATTTATTTATTTATTGAAAAAAGAACAATATTTGTTGTAAGATTTCGATTTCGTTTGGAGTACCGTCTGCGTTGCAGAGATCAAATTGAATGGCTTATTTATACAACTTTAAAAAAGAACCCATACAGAAGAAGAGATCTATCTTAAGCCAAATCGTGTACTAGAAAACTGGTGAAATGTGTTTGTCATGGAAGCTGCTCACCGGCTAACTACTTAATAGAAGTTTAGGGATACTTAATTAGAAGAAGTATATGTTATTATCTGAGGAGTAGATCACATCGTTATCTGAGATATAAACACTTTCCAGTTACACGTCACTTTTGTATACGTTGATATAATTTTGTAGCAAGTTTCCAAATCATATTGAGTTTAAGGATTCAACCACCATATATTGCTGATCGAGGGGTCCATCAACCACGTTTATGAAATTATCTTATGGTTTTCGTACGTATTCGTGGCACTAATGCAAGTTCCTTTTACAATGGAAGGTTTTAGATAAAAGGTCTTCATGATATGGCCAAGTCCATATATTCGTTACTTCGTTTGGTGGTAGCAAGTGTACATGATGGGATGTTATCCAACGCGACATGACATGCATGAGCCATATCTTAGTCGATAAACGTGATTATAATAGGAGAAATTCTTGTGTACGGCCTACCGCATCCAACATGATGTGAGCATAGCGCGTTTGAATAACACAAAATATATATATATATACACGAAATGTTGATTTTGTGTGTGGTGTCTCACAGACACATGATCGGTTGGTTGGATACCATTTTTTCCACAAGGAGTATAAAAAAGAACACTTGACACCATCTGATCTAGGGAGTAGGATTTTCTCCCCTTCAGATTTGCTCCTCACATTCCCTCCTATTTGAACGGTCACAATTAAGCCACGTCAACTTCTTGTGTGACTATCTTTATAGAGAAAAAGATAAAGGAGATATTGAGAAAATAGGGGACGGGAGGGGATGGGAGGGGTATCAGATCCAGTATAGCTTGATGCTAAAATGAATTTCATTTGAAAATGTGTAACACAGGTAGGTATATAATACAAACCCATATTTTTGCTCCCCATGAGTCGTGTCTGTAAGCAGATTAAATGACTTGCACGCGACACAAATAAGCCTGATCTAGCAAGCATAAACGAGCTAACTTCTTTTCAGATTGGCCTGGAAAAGCTACCCATCCGACTTTGCGCTCCATCTTATTAGTTAATTACTTTAAGACTAATCCACCGGCCACTTCCTTCCAAGACATACATCGATCCACAGTTGCTTCCAGATTTGCAATTCTTATAATTTATATGAAATATGAAATGAAATGTGGAAAATAACTAGTTAGATTAAATTAATTAGTTACTCTATCAACGAGTTAATGGATATACATATCCTGTACTTGTCCATGGAGACGTGGAATCTTAAGCTAATTAAAAGACAAATTAAAATTAGACTTAAGATTTAATGTATCTAATGAGAAATTAACTGGATTAAATTATTACAAAATAAATAAATTGAGGGTGGAAAGAAAGAAGGAGATAAGCAAATGATGGATTGCACAGATTTATAAGCTATTGGTGATCAGCATATGCTTTCCGGGATACTCCATATTCCCTCTCTCCTTCCCTATTAAATACAGACCTTTCAGCTAGCCATATTGTCATCCCTAAAAAAAAAAGAAACCTATTTCATCAGAAAAAAAAAAAAAAAAAAAAAGAGAGACAATGAGATACAGCAATACTTTGATCTTGATCAAGCTTTTGATCATTCAGTACCTCTCGGTTCTTTGTGTTTCTCAGGACTTCGATTTCTTCTACTTTGTTCAGCAGGTGTGTTTTTGCTTCAGCTTGCTGTGATGACCCGCCCCAAATAGAATATGATCCTCTTTCATTTTCTTCTATATTTTTTTTCATACTTCATTTCCTCTTATGTTACTTTCTATAGCCCATCTAAGTGATGTGCACGGTATAAAGTTCATAATGCGAAACTCTTTTAGTTTCATCCTAGTGGCTCGGCTCATTCAAAAAAGTATCTTCAAAATTTGAGAATCTCAATGAATCCTTTAATTTATTTTTTTAGTATCTATTTTATTTAGCCCACCCAATAACTACAAACCAAACGGTTTTTTAGTTTCTAAACCCTAGTGGAAATTTTACGCAACTGTTCTTTAGTTTCTAAACCTATCTAAACATTTTATTTTTCTTCTCTCTTTGATCTTATTTTTGCATAAGCAAGTGGTCTTTTACCACAGTAATGGAAATGAGTTGTGCCTTCACATTTTATTGTGGTTTGAACCATGTTTGTTTCCTAATCTAACATCTAACATCTAACCACTAACACTATCAGCTTTTCAAATCTCTTTTTTCTATATCACATTATAGCTAGTACTATAATCCTCATGATGTTTTATATCATGCAGTGGCCAGGAGCATACTGTGACACAAAGCATACTTGTTGCTATCCCAAGTCAGGAAAGCCTACAGCAGATTTTTGGCATTCATGGCCTATGGCCTAATTATAAGGATGGTGGCTACCCCTCTAACTGTGATCCCGACAGCGTCTTCGACAAATCTCAGGTATATTTTTAAGCAACCTAATCAATGGTCTGTGTATCCAATAATGTAAGCAAACAGTATCGCAAATAAGATTTTCATAGTTTTAAAATATACATACACCTATATAGATATGAATATGTATGCATATAGGGAGCTTCAAATGCAAACTAAGACTACGCAATGATCATAATGTTTTCATACTCTATTTTTTTTCTTTGGCTTTTTAGCTAAAATGGTCATTGAGATTGCCATAACTCTTTACTTTGGTTTATGAGATTTGAAATTGATAAAAGTGGTCTCTGATTTGGTCCACGTCAATCATTATGGTTCTTTTGTGAAAGATCTCCTTAAATAAGGACCAAAATGATAAAAATACTCTCAATTTAATAAACTATGAGCCAAATAATTTATAAAAATGAGGGTATCTTTGTCAATTTTCCTATTTTACGGAGATTTTCACGCAATAACAAAATGATTGATGGTGAACAAACTCAATGATCACTTATATCGATTTTAAATCTCAATGAACCAAAAAATGAAGAGTTATGCTAATCTCAGTGACCAAAACATAAGAAGTCATGTCAATCTTAAAAACCATTTTGAATTAAAAAAATATTTTTATTTGTGTGTGTTTTGAGTGTCTTCTTTAACTAATTATTCCATTTTCATGGACTATTTATTTTGTACAAAATTAGATCTCAGAGCTGATGACCAGTCTTAATAAGAACTGGCCATCACTGAGCTGCCCAAGTAGCAACGGTTACAGGTTCTGGTCACATGAATGGGAAAAGCACGGGACTTGCTCCGAGTCCGAGCTCGATCAGAAAGAGTACTTCGAAGCAGCCCTCAAACTCAGAGAAAAAGTTAACCTTCTACAAATCCTAAAAAATGCTGGTAATTCATTAGCAAATTCCAAAAAATTAAGTTTCTGTCTAAAGTTTGAGCTGGCCAGGGGCCGCTCCCAAAGTAAATCCCATAATAGCACTTAAAACTAATGAATCAACATTTAAATGTAACTGTTGAATGCAGGAATCGTGCCAAATGATGAACTTTACAACCTAGAGAGCATAGTGGAAGCTATAAAAGAAGGTGTTGGGCACACCCCAGGGATAGAGTGCAACAAGGATTCGGCCGGAAACAGCCAACTTTACCAAGTTTATTTGTGCGTCGACACTTCCGGCCAAGACATCATCGCGTGTCCTCTCCTTCCAAAGGGACGATGTGCTTCCAAAGTTCAGTTCCCTAAATTTTAATTAACTCATTGTTGTAATTCTTTCACAATAACCTTTTACTTTGTAACTTGTTACTTGTATGTATCTTTGGCTACCGATGTTGCTTTCAACTAGCTAGCCACTTCATGTGTCATGAGTCATGACCAAGGTATTAAATATCGATGATATCGGAAATATCGGTAGTCCAAAAACACGGAAATATCGATGGAAATATTGGGATATTATCGATATCGATAAAAATAATATGGAAACCACGAAAATTGTAAGAAAAACTTGGAAATTTTTATTGAAACTTTGCAGGATGTTTATTTAGTCAATTATCTATTAGTTTATCACAAAAAATTGGAAGGAAATGCATTGCATGATGGATTTAACTGATTTAAGTTGATTATATAGCGAGCTGGCAAACATGATGGATTTAAAGGATGTTTACTTAACTGATTTGAGGTGACCCAACCACACACACACAGACATGCCACCACACATGCACACATGTTCTGATTAGATTACACACGCACACAACACACGCACGCAGACAGAGACTCCTCAGTCTCTCTCTCTCTCTCGATCATTCTCTATCTTCTCTCCCTTCTCCCTAGATTACACACAACACACACACGCAGACAGAGACTCCTCAGTCTCTTTCTCTCGATCCTTCTTCTCTCTTCTCTCCCTTCTCTCCCACACACACGCACAGAGATCTGTCGATCTCTCTTCTCCCTTAGCCTCGTCGGCGTCGGCGTCGTCTCTCGAAACTCTCATTTCTCTCTGCACCGAGTCCGAGACCCACATACACACACGCACACCATCGCACTTGCTTCAGGAAGACACCCATCGTCATCAGCAACCTCGTCTTTCTCCCTCTCCTTCTCGTCTCTGCAACTCGGCGAACACAGGAACTCCAGCGAGTTTCTTAAATTTATCCAGTTAGGTAAGCTTCGGTTTACCTCTTTCTGTTCCACATTGAAGCTTCTATGTGAAATTTAAGTTCAAAATTGTGTTTTTGCAAGGTTTTTGGGACGAAATCGGCTCGGGTTCGCACAGATCCATCTCCGGCGTTCTTCTCCGATTGGCACAGATCCAAGATATTGCGATAATTTCAGAAATATAGCGATATTATCGATAATATCGCGATATTTTGACGAAATCTCATTGGATAAGCATTAAAATATCGTTAACCCGAAAAACCGATATTATCGACAAAATATCGCCAATAATATCGGCATTTGAGACCATGGTCATGACTAATTGATGAACTTTCTGTTAGAACCTACCCTACGTCTTCTACGATTGTACACAGAGATCAACAACAATACAATTTCATTCACACTTATCTTCCTTTACAAGCCTCTATTAGTACTAACCTTTTCACTTCTAACCGACTTCTCCCTCTAACAAGCTCTAACTAATTAATATCCACCGTACACTTGTCAATCACAGATGATGCCATGTGGCATCCTAACAATACCCTCCCTCAAAACACAAGTTCGACAAAACACAACACAAAAACTCAACCAACAGATTACAATGAAATGGATAGAAAAAACAACATCAACAGATTGTATCACAACTGCACAAGTTCAGGGAACTTGAGTTTGAGCTCTTGGTAGTTTTCCCATGTGGCATCATCTTTGGAATGGTTCTGCCATTGCACCAGGATTTCAGTCACTGCAGAATTATTGCATTTCACCAATCGTCTGTCTAGAATGGCCACCGGAACATCTTGAAGAATACCCGAATCGATAATAACAGGCAATGGGACAGTATGCTGGATAGGCAAACCCAAATGCTTCTTTAGACAAGACACATGGAACACAGGGTGAAGTTTAAAGTGATCTGGTAACTTGAGTTTATAAACTACTGGACCAACTTTGGATAGAATAGGGAATGGACCATAAAATCGTGGTTGGAGTTTGTGAAATGGATGAGAAGCGAGGGACAAATGCTGGTATGGCACCAATCTTAGATACACTGAATCTCTCACCTCAAATACTCGTTCAGACCGGTTCTTATCAGCTTGAACCTTCATCGTACATTGGGCAGCTTCCAGATTGCTCTTGAGTAAGGATAAGATTCGATCCCTTTCTGTCAAAGCTTGATCGACAGATTCTACCTTAGTGGTGCCAGATTCATAGGTTTGTACTGTTGGTGGAGCTTGACCATATACAATCTCAAATGGAGTCATCTTGGTTGCTGAATGGAAACTTGTATTGAATGACCACTCTGCCCAAGAAAGCCATGAAACCCATTTCTTTGGCTGCAAGCTACAAAAGCATCGCAAATATGTTTCGAGACATCGGTTCAAAACCTCAGTTTGGCCATCTGTTTAAGGATGGTAACCAGAACTGAAACATAATGAAGAACCTTGCAGATGAAAGAACTCCTTCCAAAATTTGCTTAAGAAAACCGGATCTCTGTCACTCACTATTGATTTCGGCATGCCATGTAGTTTAAAAATATTGTCAACAAAGAGTTGAGCAACCATGGACGCAGAATATGGATGACCAATAGCAGTGAAGTGAGCATATTTGGACAACTGATCCACCACGACCCAGATTACAAATTTACCTTTACATGGAGGAAGGTCCACAATGAAATCCATGGATATGTCTGTCCAAATCTTGGTAGGTATAGGCAGAGGATGCAATAATCCAGGAGGAGACAAAGTCTCATATTTGTTTTGTTGACATGTTGAACAGCAAGCTACCATATCCTTCACAAACTTCTTCATCCCTTCCCAATAAAAACACCTAGAAATCCGCTTATAGGTCTTTAAAAAACCCCCATGACCAGCCGTAGGTGTAGCATGATTTTCATAGAACACTTTGTTTCTCCAGTGAGTAGTAGGGCTAAGCACAATGCGGTTCTTGTATTTAAGAAGACTGTTATCTACATGAAACTTCAATGTAGCCACTGTGATAGAACCGTCATCCATAGACAGGAGACTTCAGATTTTTGTTATTATCCAAGGATCCTTCTCCATATCTCTGCGCAAATCATCCAGCCACTGAGAATAAGGGTAAGAAATAGCCAACACTTCCATTTCTGCAAGCTGGTGATCAACAAAATTGGTAATATTCAAATGAGATCGTGATAAGGCATCTGTTGCTTGGTTATTACAACCTTGTTTATATTGAATTTCGTAATCGAACCCGAGAAGTTTGGTAACCCATTTCTGTTGTATTGGAGTATGGGCCCTGCCTTGAAGGAAATATTTCAAACTGTGGTGATCAGTTTGAATAATGAAGTGATTGCCCACTAAGTAGGACTGCCATTTGTGAACAGCATGTAAGATGGCTAACATCTCTCTTTCATATGCAGATAGCGTTTGATTCCTCAAACAAAGGGCTTTACTTGTGAAAGCAATTGGTTTGCCTCCCTGTTAAAGCACCGCACCAATACCATGACCCGAAGCATCAGTTTCAATCACAAAAGGCCTAGTAAAATCTGGTAAAGCGAGGACTTGAGGAGATAACATTGCATTCTTGAGAGTATTAAAAGCTGTGGTAGCTGCATCCGACCAATGAAAACTGTCCTTTCGTGTGAGAGCAGTCAATGGACTTACGATCTTGCCAAAATGAGGAATAAATTTCCTATAGTACCCCGTTAATCCCAAAAACCCTCGCAAAGCTTTCACTGATTTGGGAATAGGCCACTGAGCTATAGAATCCAGTTTAGTAGGGTCAGCCGATACCCCATCCTTGGATACAATATGCCCGAGATATTCTACTTGTGATTGACCAAATGCACACTTCGATTGTTTCACAAACATGTGGTGCTCCTTTAATGTCTCAAATACTATTTTTAATTGATCCAAATGCAGTTGCCAAGAAGGGCTATAGACCAATATATCATCGAAGAAAACAAGAATAAACTTTCTCAAATATGGTCGAAAGATGTCATTCATAAGGCATTGGAAAGTAGCAGGAGCGTTGGTCAAACCAAATGGCATTACTAAGAACTCGTAATGACCATCATGTGTCCTAAAAGCTGTCTTTTCAACATCATCAGGATGCATTCTAATCTGGTGATAACCTGCCCTCAAGTCTAACTTGGAAAAGTATTGTGCCCCAAATAACTCATCCAACAGTTCATCAATAAGAGGAATAGGGAACTTATCTTTAATGGTGATGCAATTAAGGCCTCTATAGTCCATGCACATGCGCCAAGTTCCCTCTTTTTTCCTTACTAAGATAACAGGAGAAGAATATGGGCTGTTGCTCACTCGTATAAATCCTGCCTCCAATAATTCAGCAACACATTTCTCAATCTTAGCCTTTTGAACCGGGCCATATCGATAAGGTCGAATGTTTGGAGGTTTGCTGCCATGGATTAGTGGAATTCTATGGTCCTGAATTCTGTGGGGTGGCAAGAACTTGGGAGTTTGAAATACTATCGCATAGTCTTCCAGTAAGTTATGCAACTGTTATTGTTGAAACAGTGTAAGATTCTGACTAACCTTGTCCTTCTGTGCAGTATCTAATTGGAATGACCCCACTTCCTCAGTTTTAATATGGAACAAGACTGCTCCTACCGTTGACTCCTGATGAAGTAGCTTTTGCATTTGGAAAGCAGAAATATCCTAAAGATTTTCCTTAGATGCCTCCAGACTAGTGATACAAAATGTCTGAGAATGTTTTGTGAACTGCATGTACAATTTATCGAAATCCCACAATATAGGTCCTAAGGTACGCAACCATTGCACCCCAAGTATAACATCACATCCTCCCAAGGCTATAGCACAAGAGAAGAGAAGCTTTAGTACCCGATTTCGCCGTCAACTCCGTGAGCTTGGCATCAATTTGATGGGCAAAAGCGGCAGCCTCCAATACATCTCTGGGCTTTAACAGTTTAACATCATGGCGTAGTTCCGGTCGAAGACCCCTAATAAAGCAAGATTTGAGTAAAGAAAGGCTGATATCCCGTCTGCGATTTGCCAACCTTCGAAATTCCATGACATAATCTCTGAGAGTGCCTGATTGTCGTAATTTGACCAAGTTTTCGGCCGAATCTTCAAGTTCTGAGGGACCAAATTCATGGCACAATGCTGCCGTGAAATCCTTCCAATTGGGAAAATTCGTCAAACACCTCGCCCATTGGAACCATTGCAAAGCTTCACCTTCCATGTGAAAG